ATTTTAGAGACCACAAGAAGTGCCAGGAGGACTGGGAAAAGATTGGCCTGCTGGCGTGATTTTTCACAGCTTGGACGAAGTTTCTGCATTACCGCTCTTAAATAGTAGGCTTCTTGACCTGTCTCCATCTCGTTGGGGTTCGTTCCTCGTACGAACTTCCATGTCGGTCCGCCGCATCACTCCGCATCACGAAGAAAACAAAAAGAATATGTCATTATGTTTGTCATCACATTTTCGGCTATATTACAGTAACAGCTGCCCAGTGTCTTGCTTCCTTGTGATGTGTTCGGTACCTTCTCCCACCGGACTCCATACATAAGCACTGACGGCGTTGTCGTGAAGAAACAATCGATGCAAGTCATCGCAAAATGGATCCCACAAACCGAACACAACCAATTCTGATACAATGAAGACTGTAGAGAGAGACGCCGATACGAACAGAAACAAAAACCTTCGCGAGTATAACGAAAGTGAGATCGAGGCGATTATGGATAATTATGTCATCCACTGCGCATCAGTTCCGAAACCATTGTTGGATTCATCGCAGGCAGCAAAAGCGCCGGAGAATCCTTTCATGAAAAAATTGCCGCCTTACCTGCAAGAKGTGGACCGTGTCCCATGCGACTTGTGTGGGAAATACGTTTACTTCCAGGAGTTTTTCAATCACCAAAAGAAATGTGCAGAAACAACCGTTGRTATTGTTATGTCTCGTAAGAGACGATTACCGGAGCCAGTATATCTCAGAAATTTTCGTAAGAAACTTCCATCCGTTACACCAGAAAAGAGGAAACGAAAGCGTGACAACAGCGACACAAGCAAGAGCATCAGCATCAGCATCAGCACCAACAAGAACAGCAACTACAACATTTCACAGCTATCGACACAAAACGTAGCGTGATTCTAACTTCCAGTTGTCAGCGGCAGAGAACTCTATGGCCAACCASCACCATGTTTATGGCTCCATACYGACTCATCAGAAAGGGAAAATCGTCCGAAACCTTTGAAAGAGCCAGCAACAACAAAAGTCACTGGATGGTCACAGTAGTGGGATGGAGGAAGCAATATTTTATAATTACTAGAACTACTTCTAGTAGTACTACTGTACAATCGATTGTCCGATCATATGATCCTTAGGTAGCAAGCTTCGGTGTAACCTTAAATTTAGTAACGCAACACTACTACTACTACTACTACTACTACTACTACTACTACTACTACTACTACTGCTGCTGGGCTGGGATCAAGCCAGTTCAAGTGGTTGTGAGTGTAACTGTATTAGAGGGCGTCTCAGAACTGTGCTCAGAGTTAGGCTGGAGGTTCTACGTCTAGTATGGTACTAGCATTTGTGGTAGCAATCTGCTGGTAACAAGCTGGTAGCAATCTGGTAGTAGACCAAAAATGCTACCAGCAGATTCTGGTAACTGTTCTGGTAACAGTTGTATTAAACACTGAGTTCACATTAAAGAGGAGCATAAATACAGCAATTATATGCTCCTGCACTGCTGTTTCAAACTAACTATTTAATCTTGTGTCATTACTCTTGTTATAAATAACTAGTTTGCAGGCACACAAAAAATAGTTTGAGTCAGTCCCAGGCACCTACTACAGGAAACTATTACTAGTACCACCAGAATTGCTACTACTAGAATTGCCACCATCTTGCTACCATCTGGAAAGCAATCTGGTAGAATTTCTAGTAGTCAGAATCTGGTAGCTCTCTTTCCTACCATGAAAGTTTTTTGTAATAATTAGATTCTCTTAGCCCCTCCCAAAAGTTTCAGTCCTCATACACAATACTACACACCTGCTGGTTCCATTCTGGTAATGGGTCTAGTAGCMAAGGTTTGCGGTAAAATTGTCAATGATTATCATCCCAGTACAAAACTTTTCCCACTCAAATAACACGCACCTCAACAAGGTACTACTAACCGTTGAGTAGCATCAAAATTACATCTAACTATGTGTGCTTGGTTACTTCGCATTACAAAAAACTACCACTAACAAAGACTAGTTATTTTTTGCTGAAGTACACGCACCTCAAGCGTGCCGATTGAGTTTTCGTAATCAGTACTTGAAACCAAACCCTTCCCTATAGAGAAGCCCATATTTTTTAAACGATACCACTAGTAGTTTGGTTACAAAAAAAAGTGCAAAGTGCGCTGATGTGCACATGTAACCAGGCGCATGTACCTCAACAGGTACAAAACACATAGTATCAGTAGTAGTAGTACACAGAATTGGTACTGAAAAACTGATCTTGATTGCTATTCCAGTACAAAGTCGTGTAGAAAACACAGTAGAAATATTGATTTGCAGGAGGAAACAAGCAAAACACCAGCAGCAAGTGCTCCTATCAGTGTCCTCAGTATCGTATCAGCAACTCCTATCAGCAACTCGTATCAGCTTCCTCCATACCAGTGTCCTCCTTACCAGCATCCTCTGTACCAGTGTCCTCCTCCGTATCAGTGTCATCTGTACTATCAGCGACTTGTATCAGCGACTTGTATCAGCATCCTCCACATTAGCATCCTCCGTATTAGCGTCATCCGTATTACTAGTGTCATCCGTATTACTAGTGTCCTCCGTATTAGCATCCTCCGTATTAGTGTCCTCCATATCGTATCAGCATCCTCTGTTTCAGCATCCTCTGTATCAGTGAGCGTCCTCCGTATCACCAGTGAGCATCCTATGTATAAGCAAGCGACCCCTGTATCAGACCATGGTGAGCAGCAGCAGTAACCTCGCGCTGCATGGATCCATGTAATTTTCATGCTACTCAATCGATTACGTAGTAAATAACTGTGGCATCGCATTGGTCCACCGCTACTACAAGTATTATCTTCAGCAACACCACCAAGAACAAGCTTTCAAGCTTGTTGGTGGCATTGCTGAAGATAGTACTTGCAGCAACCTCACTTCGATCTTGCACAGTTCTTGAGCTAAAGCTCTTGAACCCACAGTRCAATATTCCTCATGATAATACTACCTCCGTCCAGGTATAACAGTAAACTTTGCAGTACTCAATTTTTCCAGAAATAATTGTCAAATATTTACTTAAGTGTTTTACTACATGTAGAATCAGTACTGTAGATAAAAATGAGCATGCGCATGAATAAAATTATTTTTGCACATGAAATTAAACAGTCTATTAACACATGAAACAATTAAATGACAATGGTATGGTGCACCTCTTTTGAACAAGAATGACAAATGCAAGAAAGTTCTCAACACTGAAGAGAATTACAGCCTCAAAATTGTGTCACTCTTGGCTTTCTATAAACTGGTCCGGTCTTTACTAAGTGACCAGTAGAACCCAACTGACGGTATTTTCAAATTGATAAGAAAAATTAAGCCTTTTTGAAGGCTTATTCCTTCATTGCTAATGGTACGACATTRCAAGGCATAACACATCTTAACTTAAAAGTATCAAATAAGATCAACATAATGAAAAAAGAAGCAGTCAAATCGGCCAAATATCGAGCTTAATCCAACGAAAGAGGTGCAAAGTGTACTATTAAATCTGGACAGAGGTAGTAACATTATTGGTACACACGCGGACCATGCAACGCCGCAGTTGGCTACGGTGCACTCCTGCACTGCACTTCACTGCACTGCACTTCACTGCACTGCACTTCGCTATCTTAAGTGCGCGGTAGCCAGTAACCTTCAAGAATTCTTACAGTCCTGGACTTACCGAGGAAACAAAAAGAAACTTTTTTTTAAATGTGGATTTGTACAAACCCCGGACCCGGTATATTTTGCAAATAAATTAGTACCTTGACCAAAATAAATTACTATTCATTTTTAACTTAAACATTCAGTCATTACAGTATTGTGACAACAAGTCATTCTAGTAACAATAACCTAGTTTTTGTCCTTCAAAAAAAAAAAACAACCGCGGCGGCCGCAACCAATCATCATACCGGTAGATTTCTGGTTACATTCTTGGTACACGCGCGTCTGTACTTTTGCCGAACGGCAGAGTTTWTTTTTTTCAGCCCTCCCCCCCCACCTTCGAAACTCTTCAGCATCYTCTCATACTCAACACAAGTGCAAGTGAAGTACGTACCATTGACATTGGCATTCGTAAACACYGGAAACGTCATCATGTCGGACAATCTATCTAAAGAGACCGGCGATTTCCACAAGTTTTCCAGGCCCTCGGCCGGGTCCCGGACCGTCGAGGGGAACACCAGCGGAGCCCGTGCCATGCGATTGGAACGCCAGCGGGCCAAGGAGCAGGAAGACTTTGAGCGCATCAAGCGCCAAAAGATATCCGACAACAACCACGCCAAGCTCGAAATCGGTTCCAAGTTCCAGCAGGCACGGATCGGGAGCGTKGAGGAACAGACCTTCCGGGCCAAGACGGTGGGGCTCGTGACCGCGGAAGAATTCGTCAGGGCGGCCARCGAGAAGGATGGAAACTTGACGAACGGTTCCGAGCGCCCGATGACGGAAGAAGAACGAGCCGCCGCCGTAAAAATGGCGGCCGCGAAAGCCAAGAAGGAAGCGAAACGGTCTCGAAAGAAAAAGAAGGAAAAGAAAAAGCGAGCCGCACTATTGAGTTTCGGAGGCGACGAAGAGGAAGAGGWGGAAACGGGACACTCGGACGAAAACAAAGCAACAGAAAACAAACCACCAAAGACCACGGGTGGTGGMGGCAGCAGCAAGAAAGACCCCACCATTGACACTTCCTTYCTGCCCGACAAGGAACGCGAGGAAGCCCTCGCCGCGGAACGAATTCGATTGGAAAAAGAATGGAAACAGCGCCAGGAGGAAATCAAGCAGGAAAAACTCCAGATAACCTACTCGTACTGGGATGGATCCGGCCACAGACGGACCTGCACAATCCGCAAGGGGGACYCGGTGGGGGACGGATTTCTCGAAGTCGTCCGCAAAGATCTTTGCCGGGAGTTCAAGGAACTCGGGAAAATCGGGTGCGACGCCCTCCTGTACGTCAAGGAGGATCTGATTCTCCCCCACGACATCACCTTTTACGACCTCATTGTTACGAAAGCGCGTGGAAAATCGGGCCCGCTCTTCCACTTCGATGTCAGGGACGACATCCAGGTCGGACCCACCGATGTGAGGATCGAAAAGGACGAATCGCACCCGGGAAAGGTCGTCGAACGGAGCTGGTACGARCGCAACAAGCACATCTTTCCGGCATCCAGGTGGGAGGTATACGATCCGGCCAAGAACTACGGCGGATACACTATCGCCGGCAAGATTGTGACAACGAAGGAAAACGGGCACAACATCTTTCAAAAGTAAGCCGTACGGGAATGAACAATTTTTGACGGTTTGACGTGGAAACAAACTRGATCACGACGAATTATTGCTATTCAACGTCATTGACGAACAACACTAACGAAGTTATCTACAAATCTCGAAGTTGGAGAGGATTTAATGAATCGTTGATTGATCCATTCGTCCTGTTTTCCACAKAATAGTTGATTTCTAGCTTCTGGTGGCGTATAAAATGTACACGTCAACCGTTTTTTTCTGTAGGAAAAATAATCCGAACAGAATCCTTGGTGACAATGACAAACTACGAACTCTGAGTCAAATGCGTGAACGAAATGGCATTCGGATCAAAACATSGGCCGATAATATTTTGATCGACGAAACGTTGATGATTCCTAGATCTTATACAGTAATGAAAAACACGGATTTTTGCTTCGGTTTTGAAAAATGATTTTGGCGCAACTGAATAGAAGAATATACGATGAATGATTCACGTTTTTGTGTCCACGATACGCAGAGCGTGTTGACTCATTCATGGAAACTTGAAGAACGAAACCAATAGCAGCGCCAACGTTTTCAATGAGCAACRCATCRTCAAACACTTTCGTGAAGAGAGGGAACAAGAACAAGCTAGAGAAAAAATGCTGTAAAAGATAACTCATCGCTATACAGTAAACTGACATCATATCAAATCAAGTCGCAAGTCAACGAATACAATGGAGTTTGAAGTAGTGGATGCACCAATAATCAAAGGTATGGCGCGCGAAAGCAAAATCACGACAATCAGTTTTTGCAATGAAAATTTCCGAGGCCACAACAGCAAACWTGTGACGACCGAAGATCTATCTGTCCGAGAGGTACCGGAAGATTCCCTCGCATCTTCCAAGAAACGCAAAATCGATGCTAGTTCCACCGATGACAGCGCCGTAGACAACAAGRAACTGGAGACGTTCGGTTCGTCTTCAAAGTCCGAGCAAGTTCTGGGCAATGATAATGATGACGAATTGAATATTCGTAACTCTTTGGCAAGGATCGAAAGAAGCATTGAACGCATCAACGAAAAGGCGAAGGGTGGCAAAAACCGTGGGATCCRCACGGAAGAGCTTCTAATGAGCCTCTCGTTGAAGGTCGATGCAGTCGAGACGAACATCAACAAGCAGCTGCTGCTTCATGACAATTTTTCCAAAAAGAACAAAGGTATTTCTGAGGTTGATGAGCTGCTGGTTTCACTCAAGAAGGCAGTTGRTGATCTAGGAGCAAGGGAAGTTGACGCGGAAAAATTCAAAACAAAGGAAAAAGATTTGCTGTTTCTCTTGAATACGAAGGTTGACACTATCAACGCAAGGAACAAAGAAATACTGGAATCCGAGAAGAGGAATGAAAACATTCTGGTTGCGATGGAGGCAAAAGCCAACGATATCGAAACTAGGAAGAAAGAATTATTGGAACTCGAGACGAAGAATGAGAATGTCCTTGTTGCCCTGGCGACAAAATTTGAGGATCTCGAAAGAAAGAACGAGGAAATGTCATTGAGTTTGGGCAATAGCCACGATCTTGTTACCAAWCTCACTGCAACGGTGGATTCACTCAAATTTACCAACGAGAATCTGGTAAATCTATTGGTGGCCTTGAACCACAAGATAACCGATATKACAGTAAAGAACGATAATGCTTGCGTTCGTTACGAACGGTTGCAAGAGATGATGGTTGCCGCTAACGAGAAGGTAGCCGAAGCTTCAATCGAAACTGCAGTGAAAACCACTGAAGATACTCAAAAAGTGAAGGAAGAGGAGGAGAGACAAGAAGTGAGTGGCAAAAACGCACCCAATTCGGAGGAAAGAGATACATGGAATTCCATGTTTCAAAGACTCCAGCAATTCAGAAAAGAGAATGGCAGCTGCAAAGTTCCATTCCATTTAAGGGAATATCAAGACCTATCAAATTGGGTGAACAACCAAAAACGCCTGTACAATAACTTAATTACTGGAAATGGGGCTGAAATCATCGAACAAGACAAGATTTCCCAGCTCGAACATCTCGGTCTTAATTGGGGAAAGGACTATCCTTCYCAAGAATGTTGGGATGCCATGTTCGAAAAATTAGAATCGTATCATAAAGACTTAGGAAATTGCRATGTGCCTTTGAAATCTCATTACAARCAGCTGGCCAAGTGGGTAATTCGTCAGCGTAAGGAATACACTGATAGAAAGAGAGGGCATCTTTCAACTCTCACTTGTTATCAAATTCGCAAGTTGAACGGTATTGGATTTAACTGGGACGGCCCCAACTCATMCAAAAAACTTAAAAAAAGTGCATCCGCAAGGTCCAAACCTTGATACRACCTCGTAGTGGTGATACATTATAGAATAWTGCTAATACATCGCGGTGTGAATGACGAAATAACTTTTTCCATTTCTATCAAACGGATAATAAGATTGATGTTCTCTATAAATTTAAAAGTATCTYTAAGCTATTGTGCTCTCTGAGTTATCAACTGGAATTTCATCGAGAATCGGGATCTCGATTTTCTTGGCGAGCCGCAGGATGGTGCCCTTAATGTGTCTGGCGTTCAAACCCGCTTGCTCGTATTGTTGGAATTGTGTGGCGGCCTCAAAGTAAGCGTCAGGGATGACCATGGGTCGGAACTTGAGGTTTCCTTCGTCCAACAATCCATCGAGAGACAAAAAGTGAAGAACGTGGTCACCGAAACCACCRATGCTGCCCTCCTCGATAGTGATCAAAACGGAGTGGTCGTCTGCGAGCTGTCGGACCAGATCCACGTCCAACGGTTTCATGTACCGGGCATCGGCAACAGTTACGCTCAAATCTTCGTGCTCGTCTTCGACCTCTTGGGCTGCAACAAGAGCCTCGTGAAGGCGAGTTCCAATCGAAAGGACGGCAACACGGTCCTTGCGTTCCTTGCCTCTCGTGCTCGATTTATTGTCGATCAAACCTCCTTCTCCTCGAATGATGCGTCCCTTGCCGATAGGGATTTTTTCGCCTTGAAKTGTAAAGTGATTTCCAAAATGAATTTGCAGAGAAAAATTGACAACATAAAATGATGTATGCGATGAAAAGYAAATATAAGGTGAGATTAAGTTCGTTACAAAACATTCCCATTTTGCATGTTCTTGATTTTTTATTGAAGGARAGTGTATACATTGTGAAAAACCATGAGAGGYTAACTTACCCTTGGTGGGAATTTCTCCCTTCTCCAGCTTGTAACCAAAGAGGTTCTGAAGTTTCTCAGCACCGTATCCCACACCACGTGGGTATCGCAGGACGGTTGGACCTTCGTCGTAGTCCGCACAGGTCATAACCATGTTGCGGAGCTCGATTTCGTCTGAAGGAGCCATGATGGTGAGGTTGGGGATGCATCCCATGTACGAGAGATCGTAGCATCCGTGGTGAGTAGGACCGTCGTTTCCGACGAAGCCACCTCGATCCAGCATCATACGAACGGGCAAATTCTGTACAGCAACGTCATGAACTACCTGATCGTAGCCACGTTGCATAAATGTCGAGTAGATGCACACAAAAGGCTTGAGRCCCTCGCATGCCATACCGGCACCCATCGTAACGGCGTGTTGCTCGGCAATACCCACATCAAACGTGCGCTTGGGAAAGCGGCGACCGAAGATGTCCATTCCCGTRCCTCCAGGCATGGCGGCTGTTATTCCAACAATGCTGCGGTCTTCGATGGCTGCATCGATCAAAGCGTTTGCAAAAATAGAGGTGAAGCTGGGTTCACCTCCTTTGATCTTGAACTGGGCACCGGTTCCGAGGTTAAACTTGCCTACACCRTGCATTCTGTCACTAGCGGCTTCGGCAGGTGGGTATCCATACCCCTTCGTGGTCTTAATATGGAGTAACACAGGTTTGTTGCTGGGAGAATCTCKGAGCTTTTCGAGAATTGGGATCAAGTTGTCGAGATCGTGGCCGTCAATGGGACCAACGTAGTAAAATCCTAATTCCTCGAAGAGAGTACCACCMGAAACAAGACCACGAGTGTATTCGTCAATACGTTTGTTCACGCTTTGCACGTCCTCGGGCAAAAGCTTGTTRAAAGATTTGGCAAAATCACGRAAGTCTTGGAAGGGTTTAGACACCAAYAAATTGGAGGTGTAGGTGGAAAGCTGCGATGCGGGGACTGTTCCTCCAGCACTAGGTGTTCCCGTAGGAAGACTGACTTGACCATTGTCGTTCAAAACGACAATCATTCGAGATTGCAAGTATCCAGCACTGTTCATGGCCTCGTAAGCCATTCCTCCGGTAATGGCACCATCTCCAATAACAGCAACACAATTGTTCTTTCGTTTGTTCAAGATACTCTTAGCAATACTCATACCCTGTGCCGCCGAGATGGAAGTYGAGGAGTGACCTGCTCCGAAAGAATCATATTCGCTTTCTTTTCGTTTGCAAAATCCTGAGAGCCCATTCATTTGACGGAGGGTTGGGAATCGGTCCCGTCGTCCGGTCAGCATCTTGTGGGGGTAACATTGGTGGGCAACGTCCCAAATAATATCGTCTGTAGGCATGTCAAAGACGTAATGTAGAGCAACTGTGAGCTCGGTAACTCCCAGAGATGAACTCAAATGACCTCCCGTCTTCGAAACTTGTTCCAAGACTTCCCATCGGACTTCGTTGGCCAACTACAACGTCGTAATACAATGTTGATGTTCACAAAAAAAAGACAAAGTAAAACATGGATGAGTTTTCTTTTTTTTTTCGCAAACTTTTTCAGTAGGTGTCGATTCAATACRATATTTTACATACCTGTTTCAGTTGTCGCATGTCCAGACCATTCATATCATGTGGGTACTTGATAGAGTCCAAGATGGGTTTCACGGTTGGCCCCGAGTAGGGTGGCCCTGAAACTTTCTTGTCCGAGTCTCCTTCCGCATTTAGTACAGTATTTGGCGCTCGAGCATGGTACCTCGATGTCGGAGCGAATCCGTGCACACCTGTATTCTAAGGTTTCGAAACAAATATTTCAAGTTGAGTCAAATCGAGTTTGGTTTCATTTCGTGTCATCGTCCCAAGGTCGATGAAGGAGAAACGGGCCGTCGTTTCATTCATCGAAAAGACAGGTCAAGAAAACGAAGAARAACACGGGGATTTTTRGCAGGGTGAGAGAGAGACACGTGAAGCAAAGAGAGGGTGCGGGTCGACCGGAAGAACGATCACAAGAAGACAAACGCGACACATGTTTCATCGTGTCTTCGAGTGATGGATTTCCAAAAAGATACGTTGTRCTTGAGAAAGGACCCGGTTCTTGAAGTTGAATTTTGAGTCGAACGAGTCGGTGACCAACCAGATCCAAGAAAAACTGCGCGATGATRSGGATTTTGTGCGGGAGGAGACGGACGGAAAATAATGATGGAATGTCCTCGTGCACCGTCGATGAAACGGAAAGTTGGAAGGAAGGAATCGGGARSAGCCCAACTGAGGTAGGAACGCCTTGGATGTAATTAATTGTAGAATTAAGATWTTTCTCTGAAGCGAGASGAGAGGGCAACTAAGTGGTTTCGGTTCGATGCATTATAGCTCCCTCTCAAAAGTGTCGTCACAGAGGCGTTTGATGGCGGATTTCTTTTTGGTAATCCACAACATCCATCGACGCGATGCATTCTTCCAATAA